GATAGAATCAATATTCATGGGGGAGGAGGATGGAAACCTCAGCTTAGTCAAAAGGAGCCAAGACAGACACAGGGAAAAGTCAAAAGGGAAGAGGGGGAACATTCCATCAAGGAATGAAGATAGTTAAAATTGAGTGCTGAGTTGGAACTTGAAACCAGTAGAATCTAGGTTCTTTTTGAATTAACTGAGCTAGATAAAGTGAAGGGGTTGGACTTAAAAAWGATAGTGAAGTGGTGTGCTCAGATTGATCTTCTGTTGTTTCTCTTATTTCGTTCTGATAGGAGTTYTAAGCATATAGTTCCCTTTTGTTTTCTTTGGTTTTTTCTTCCTCACTTATGCTTTTCCACAACTTCTATACTCGTATTCTATTGTTCCTACAKTWACTAATTCAGAAAAAGGAAAAAGTTACGGGTTTTTTAATTTGAGATTTTGCATGTTGATCTAATTGCTCCATAATTTTTTCTCTCTATTTCCTAATCAGATTCTGGATTGGGTGAAAACTCCAAGATAGATAACCCAGAGGCCTTGCCACTAGATGGATTCCTTTCTGGAGATTATTCTAAGAAATGCAATCCTGCAGATAAGCAATTTACTTTCAGTACAGTGATTCCTTCATTACCATTGACAATAAAATGGTTAAGGGACTCTGTCAAGGAAAACCCTTCCATCAGAATTCAGGTAAAGTAACTTGAAGTTTAGTTGCATGTAGTTGGATATTTATACTATGCATTTATGCAGATGTTCTTTATTCATTTCTGTAATAACTTATGGTTCATGAGGGATTATATGTGCTTCTTGTGGATATGCAGGTCCTTGTTACAGGATCCCTTCACTTAATAGGAGATGTAATGAAGCTTTTGAGGAGGTGATCATAGTTAAAAGGAGACTTRAAATTAGTCTCCTCGRCAAATTCCAATTTACAACATGGTTTAAAGCATCATCCTAGCTTCATTCGGAACAAATAAATATTTTATAGTTTTMACATTTTTTGTATGTAATTTAATGATGTTGTATCATTAGAACACAATTAAACCACAGTTTTCATCTTATCCCCATGTCGCTCATCAATTTAGTATTTGGGAATTGATTGAATAAATTGTGGACATATTGCAGTAGTTGCACTTAACATGGTTCTGAATCAGTATTGGGTCATTGTATCAAATGGTTTTCCTGGCTCCCAACATTGGGACTTCTGTAAACCGCGGATTAACTTGTGAACCATTTGATATAACTAGAGTTACTGTGGTTGCAGTCTAAAACACTGGTAG